TGACTTGCCCATGACCACAAACCCAGAAGCAGAATCTGAACACAGTTCTTCCTGGTTCCAACTAACCCAAACTGTCTCTCACATAAACCTTAAAACGGTGTCTTAAAGTGAGTTATTATGAAGTATATTTTGCTACTTTAAAAGATGAAATAAAGTTCCATACTTGTGTGCGTTCAAACAAGAAACAAAAGATTTTCCCTCATGTATCTACCCTACAGGAAAGTGTCTAGATCTGTATTACAAGATCCCGGGACTGATAACTGGAAGGGACCTTAGAGCTCATCTAATCCAACCATCCCATTCTATAGATGAGGAAACTGAGGCCCAGAGAGGGAGAAAGTGACTTTTCAATGGCAATAAGTTGAAGCGAGATTTGGCCCCAGACCTCTCCAAACCCAGTGCTCTTTCCACTTCTCTTTTGATAAGGACATTAAGATACAGCCCACCATGATGGACTTTACCACACTATCCTTAGATGCCTTCCTTCTCCCTTTCCTCCTATCTCTAACTCCCAGCACCTCTGGCTCTGCTCTCATTCCCCACTGGGGACGCTCAATCTCCTTCCTCCTATGCACCATGGGACCGACTGGCCCCAGGAACACTCGTTCGCCAAATGTCATGCTTCAGTGGGACTAATCAATAATAGCATCCAGGGTGAGCCTGTGCCTATGGTGTTGTGTTACCTGCACACAAAGACATCAGAGTGTCACACCTGAAATGACATGCTGCAGCCAGGCAGAGGCAGAGATGCAAAGAGGGTCATCCACAATCAAGCAAGTCACCATGCAGGGAAAGGAGACAGGGACCAAGGGAATGTTCAGCACATCGATGCAGGCCAATGTCCTTTCATCTGGGCCAGTATTAAGGCTTGACACCTTGTGCTGGTATTTATGACTTGGTCAAATTTCAGGGGGCAGTCTGTGCAGCTGTTACAGGCAGGACCCAGAAGGGGGAACCACTATCTGGGACTTCAGGGAAGAAATGGTCCTCAAAGGATCACAGCCCTGTGGCAACGGGAATCAAAGGGGGTGAGAAATTGAATTCTAGACTCCAAAAAGGGAAGTGGGTGTTTCTTAAACCAGTCTGTAGAGTCATGGGGAGGGGGAACCCAAACAAAATAACCAACTATGGAAAGCATGAAATGGAGCTCAATTTGTTGACAAATCTCCTTGGGTTATCATTTATGCTATTGGTTTGGGGAATTCTCCTAAATACCTAGTCATTTAACTCAGACAAAGACGATTTTATCATCTGAAAGACCGATGTTCACAAGTTTTGGACAGTCTGGCAACTGGGGCAATAGAACTCTAAACAAATGATTAAAAATAGCTGATATCCTTAAACCAACTGGAGAAGAAGGGGGTTGTTTGAAGGAACTGAAAGGGAGGAGACTTGAGGGAAGAAGCCATGACAGCTGTTTACAAATACATGAGGGGCTCTCATGTAGAAGCACTGCCCTGCTTGACCCCAAAGGGCAGAGCAAGATGCAACAACTGGAATTGGGAGAGGCAATATGGGATGTTGGATGGGTGATATTGGGCCAATGAAGTTTAAGATCCATGAGGGCAGGGCCACTGTCTTCTATCTTGGTATCTTGACCAGCACATGGGAGAGTCCTCTGACCAAAGAAGGTGCTTCATGAATATTTTGCTTAATAAAGAACCAATATTCCTGAAGAGGGAAAAATGTGTTTTTTGACACTACACTGGAGTAGGATGGGATGGAGAGGGAACTGTGGTGTAGTGATTAGATCTTAGCAATGGGAGTTAGAAGATCTGGGTGTGAACCTTTACTTTGCCCCTTTGCCTGTGTGATGTTAGATGACGTACTTCCTCTCTGGAACTCAGTTTCCTCCTTTGTAAAATGAAGTAGTTGGATTTATGACTTTTAAGGTCCAAATTGATGATGCTATGAACTAGATGGCCAAAATTCCCTTCCTTTTCTAAATTTTACGGTTCTATTGGGATATAAATGTATCAGAAGCTGTAGGGTTTTTCCCTCTATAGGTCTTTAAATGGCAAGGACATAAAGAAACTTCATGGGAAGTGCTTCTGCCACCTGAACAGTACAGATCTCACAGAAGGGTGTTATATTATCCACCTGGGACTGAAGGGCACATCATGGCAGCAGAAAGGCTCATTCACAAACAGTCATGCCTGTTTCTTAGCCTGAGCTAAGGAGTCACTAAAGGAGTTGGGAATGGTTCTTATAATAAAGCTCTGACTCCCAGACCCATTTGCTAGCCATCTAATTATAGTTTTTGTTGTTTGGTCACTTTTCAGTCGTGTCCATCTCTCTGTGAGCCCACTGGGGGTTTTCTTGGCAAAGATACTGGAGCGGTTCGCCATTTCCTTTTTTAGCTCATTTTACAGATGAGGAAAGTGAGGTAAACAAAGGTTAAGTGACTTGTCCAGGGTCACACAGCTAGTAAGTGTCTGAGGCCAGATTTGGAAAAAAAAAGCTCTCTACAACAAAACAGGCAAACCTTCCCCATCCCCTAGTCTCAGTTTAAGTCTATAAGGAGTGCTTTTGATTGTGTTCATCTGATGATGATTAAGCAAGCCAAATTGCTATCTCAACAAAGCAAGAAGTTAGCAGGAAGGTGAGAAAGGAGAGGCGTAAGGAAACTGGGTTTTACAGCAAACAGTAATGGCCTAAGGTGGGCTATGTGGTATAGGGGAGACATTCCAGGACTGGAAGGCAAGAGAAGCGGGTTCCAGTTTCAGCTCTACTTCTCCCTGGCTGTGTGACTCTGGACAAGTCACTTGCCTTCTCGAGGCTTCGCTTTTCTCATCTGTAAAATGAGGGAGGTGGCATTTTCACTGACCGTTCAGAGTTTTCCCCGTCCTCATCTCTGACTCCCGGCTTCCTTCAAGTTTATCTAAAATACCATCTATGAGAAGCCTTTCCTGGTCTCTCTTAATGCTAAGGCCTTCCCTCTATTGATTATCTCCCACTTATCCTGTATAGATCTTGTTTACACATAGTTATTTTTATGTTGTCTCTTCTATTAGACGGGGCTCCTTGAGGGCAGGGGCTGTCTTTTGCCTTTTTAAAAATTAAAAAAAAATTATCCCCCATCTCTTAGCATGGTGCTTGGCACATAGTAGTACTCAATAAATGTCTATTGACCAACAATTTCTCAGGTGCCTTCTGACTTTGTCAATCAGTGTTTATAGATTCTTTCCAGCTCTCACATTCTATATTCTAACATCTAGCACCAAGGACAATGCTTTGTACTTGACTGACTCAATGAATGTTTGTTTTTATAAATGAATGAATACTTCCGTGACTGTGACTCCATCTGACTACAACAGTTAAAGGAGTAGGTGAGGGGCAGAAGAAGGGAGGGGCCAGAGCTGAACCGGAGGCTGGATATGCCATATATCCCCCTACTGTGTCTATCAAGAAGCCCTCAGCAGGATTTTGGAAGCTCAGAGCGAGTTCTGAGGTTGGTGACCATTGTAACTGTGTGTGAAGGGTGCTGAGCTTAGGGCATACTTGTCTTAGCTCTCAGTGGACAAGGACTAAAGTCTTATTCATCTTTTTATCTTCTTTAGCACATAGCCCAGGGCATTGCACATAAGAAGCATTCAATAAATGTCTGTGTACATGCCTTATCCCTAGACTGTTAATTCCTTGAAGACAGGGTCTGGGCTTACAGTCAAAAGACCTTATTCAAGGCTTCCTTACCCTCTGACCGAGGGAAAATAAATTTTTTTTAGGCCTTTGAAGAAAACATTTTCTAAACTGTAAAATACTATTGAAATAGGAGTTAGAATCACTCGTATCCTCTCCCCTGGTGCTTCGCACAGCGGATGACACAGTCCAGGGTTAGAGAGAGAGAGACTTGAAACTGTGATTTTATTAGCATAGGGAGATCCCTCTACTTGTGTAGTTTGCTGGCTTATGTCTAGAACATTGCCCGGGGGCACTGAGAAGCAGCCAAATGATGCAGTAGATAGAGCACCAGGCCTGGAGTCAGGAAGACCTGAATTCCAATAATTCCTCAGTTGTATGCCTGGACTTCATGGCTGTCTGCCTCAGCTTCATCAACTCTAAAACAGAGATAATAACAGTACCAATCTCTCAGGGTTGTCTGTTGTGAGGCTAAAATGAAATAATATTTGTAAAGTACTTTGCAAAATTTAAAGTACTATATAAATGCTAGCTAGAAATAGTTAGAATAAATACTAAGATGTTAAGTGACATTTTTCATGGTTGCACAGTTAGTATTTGTCAAAGGCAAGCCTTAAACCCAAGTCTTTCTGGCTTTGGGGACCGCTTTCCCTTCCTGCTGAGTGCTTAGGAAATATCTGTGGGATTTACCTTTTACATTTGTTGAACTGAATTAGTGTAAACCCAACCCCTTCTAATTAAATAGGAAGCCTCAACTATCCAACTTGTAATCTGATCCTTGGTGAGAAAGGATTCTGTATACATGCTCAATAAATGTTAGAGGAATTTAGTAATAATAGCTCATATTTTTGTTTTACAAAGTGCTTGACATGCCTAATCTCATCTGGTCTTCCCAACTACACTCTGTGAGGTATGCGTGGTGTATATTATTACCTGCATTTTTCAGGTGAGAAAGCCAAATCACAGAGTGTTTTCCTAGAGTCACAAAACAGGGGTCAGCTGGTTCTGGAGCCCAGGGATGGCTCCAGACCCAAAGCTCCTCCTATGAGACCACAGTGCATCGGTGAAGAGGATGATTGGAGGTGGTGGTAGCGGGGAGCCAGGAGCATTAGGGAAGTGCATCGCTGATTTAATCTTTTCGTGAGTATATGAAAAAGCTGGTGATGGCATCATTCAATGAAAGGACATTCCTGCTGCTTTCCCACATGAAAATGGATGATGTTAGAAGTGAAATCCACAAGGAGAGGTGCTCATGCTGCACCACGTCACATAAACCCAATGAGACACGCTTCTTCGGCCTCCCCCTGCCTCCCCGCCCCAGCCTAACAATGCCTTTAAAGGTTGCTTTCCTTCCCCCGTACCAATGGTGCAATGTTCTCCATTCCAGCCTGGGCTGCATTCACATTTGCCGTCCCGGCAGGTCCCGTGCTCATTACAGCGAGGGTGACATGCCCTCTGATCACAGGTCGAACCCATCCAGCCATCCTCACAGCGACAGGTGCCTCCCACGCAGACTCCGTGACCTCCACAGTCCGAAGCACAGATCTCTGGGGGGACAATCAAGAGATGGGGCAGGAAGGGGGTGGGGGAGGGGAAAGAAGTGGGAGAAGATAATGGGGTAAGGAAGAATGAGAAAGAAAAACCGTCCAGAAAGTTGCTCTCCAGAAAAGCAGCCACACTTTACTTCCTAGCATTACAGTAAGGAAAGGCATCTCTTGAGTTTGCTAACACTAATCCCTGGGACAATATAAATCCAAGGGGCAGCTGACTTTGCCCCTCTTTCTCCTCAATTTCCCTCACCCTTTTCTCTTTTCCAAATGGAAAAGTCTGGCTTACTAAGCTTTTATGTTTGCCAGTTCCAAGGGAAAGCCTTTCTGAACAGATGTAAGCAAAGTCAAATTTAATTAAAAATTGGTTGTATGGAAACAATCCAGGGATGAATCACCGATAATAAAGTGAAGTGATGTTAAAGTCTGTGTAACCCATTTAACCAGGGATTCTAGGTGCTGTGTTTCCTCTTCTAAACCTTGGCCCTGCTGTTGAAAGTGGGAGAAGGAGGGAAAGGGAGGGAGAAGTAGCGGAGGATTATTCCCATTTCACAGACAAGGAATCTGAGGGTCAGCAAGGTTCTGAGATGAGCTCTCAGGTCACACGGTTAGGAAAAGGCAGAGCTGGGCCTTGAGCTCCATCTCTTGATTCACTGTGCTTTCACTAATCATACTGTCCTCTAAGAATACACAAAATGTTTCGGTTGGTCCATGATCTAGAACTATTTTGATTCTTCTGTCTTGGCACCCAAACCTGAGAAAGTCCTCTTTCCATCTGGGTTTTCCTACCTTATTTCCCCCTGTTCTGCTTTCTGGCAAGCAGGACTACTGGGCATTCCCTGACCTCATTCCACCTTCTCCTACCACTCATGATCACACATGCCTTTCCCCACTCTTGAAATGCTTCTTCCCACAAATCAGCTTTTGACATTCTGTTCTTCATTTAATTAAAAGTACCTCACTTCAGACGACACTGAAACTTCCCCAAACACAACCCTCCAAGCTGAAAGTGACCTCTCCCTCCCCAAATTTTCTTCAGCCTTTTTGCCTAACTTTTAATCTTTGCTGAGTTTATATCCTATGTTGTTTTATAATTTTTCTTGCACATGTTATATCTATGAAATTCTGGGACTCCTTGTATCCAAGGCTAGGTGTACCACTTTTTGTATGTTACTATTTAGCAAGGCACCCCGTATATAGGAAGGGTTTAATAAATCTGGTCAAATTGAGCTGTGTCTCCGTGGTAATTGTGACACTTCTAATTTATCTTGAATCAAATTCTTTCTGACCCTTTAATAAAAGCAAGCCTGCCTTAGGCTTAAATGATTCATTTTTGGTTTAGAAGGAGCCTATACTCTATCTGGGCACTGAACTAAAAATTTCTTAGCAAAGTTAGGAGTATCTTATTAGAGACAGCATGGAATAGTGGAAGAGTGCATAGGACTTAGAGTCAGGTGGACCTGGATTCAAATCTTACCTAAGACACTAGTTATGTGACCCTGGACAAGTCATTTAACATCCCTATTCCTCAACTTTCTCACCTGTAAAGTGAGGTGTTTGGTCTAGATGACCTCTAAGATCCTACCAAGATCTGGGATTTTATGCTCTGGTTGCCAGAGTGGGCTGCAGCAGCAAAGGAAAGAGGCCTTGTATTCTTTTTTTGTGTGCAATGGCACAATTTCTCTGGGCCTCAGTTTCCTCATCTGTAAATGAGAGGGTTGGATTTTATGACTAGAGAGGCTCTTTCCAGCTCTCAATTGTGATCCTGTGGGTCAGCCTCCTGTAAAGGAGAGCCAGACACAGTGGGGTCCTGGAAAGGCCCTTGGCCTGAGAACTGCGTAAACCGAATTCTGGTCTCGGCTGTGTTAGTCACTAGCTCTGTGGCTAGAAGAATTCTCTCCCGAAATCTCACTGTACTTTGTGCTTGCCATATCCTCATCACCGTCTATGTTACTTGTGTACACGTGTTCTTTGTGTATATATTTTCTCCCCATCACCAGGAGTCTTGACTTTGTCTTGCCACCAGACTTGGAGGACACTTGCCATTCGGCCTCACTTAAATCTAATCCGGGCCTGAGGCAAGACGTTACCCTGTGATGTCATTGGTCCTCTTTGAAAATGAAGGATGAAGACCAGCACCCCTCTATCATCTCCTTAAAAGACTCACCCAGGGCAAGTCGTTTAACCTCTTGGTACACTGGGCAACCCTCAACGACTTGACTTTGCAGAGAAGGTGTTGACTTGCATTAGTAGAGGGAATTTACTCATGGGGAGTTCTCTGTAACAATGAGATCAAAGGACTAGTCCCCCTGTTCAAGTATATGTGAGGCCTTGAGGTTCTTCTATGTAGGGCCTATATGTAAGGCCACAGGCACTGTTACAAAAACAAAAATGACACAGGAGCTAATGTTCTGTAGGGGTGAGTGATATTCTAAACACCTTAGAACCCCATGGTTCTACTGGTTCTATGACGTGCATCCCAGAAGGTTTGTTTTTTTTTTTTCCTGTATGCAGGTGTGCATTGTATCAACAGCTGTTTCAGGTCACAGGTACAACTAGCTTGTGTATTTTTTGAGCCTTATCCAAGGCTTGGCCTGTTTGAATGCTTCACACGACTTGGAACGAGTCAGTCTAAATTTGTTTGCATCGCTCCAATTAACGGAGCCCCACAAACGAGAACAGGTCAAAAATGTCAGCCAGGTGGAGAGACTCTCTCACAAGATTACTCTGCTCAGAGGGGAGGTGAGGGCTGCTGTGGATCTGACCCCTGAGGAAAATGTGTATGCATTTCCTGGCCCAAGGAGGGAGGGTTCTCCAAAGCTGAACATGACCGGCATCCTTTCACACACAGGTCAGAGTCCTTGGGGTTCCCCTAGGACAAAGGAGGATAAATAACAGGCAGTAACTAGGCCTCCCTCCTGCCTTTAGTCAATATTCTTTCTCTCCCCCTCCTCTTCTTCTTTCCCTTTCCCCCTTCTTTCCTTCTTTCTTCTTTCCCCGCTTTCCCTCCTTCTTTCTTCCTTTCCTCTTCCCCTCTTCTCTCCTCTCCTCTTTACTACATTCTAGCTGTAATGACACCTCATGTTTGCCTTGTCTCAAGGGCAGAATTAGTGTTCTAATCTACAAGTTCCAGGGAAGAAGATGGGGGAAAGGTGTGATGGTCATTTATTTGCCTAATTCAGGGCATTCTTTGTATGGCAGTTTATGGTGTGAAAGTCATCAGCAAATAGCACATCTGTTAAATGCGGTGTAAGCCTGCAGGCAGAATGTTTTCTACTATCAAAAAAGTTGGCATTCTCTTGTAACCCTGCTGAAGAGACTTTAAATGTTTAATTTGGTCACCCAGTCTGGGAAGACAATTTTCACTTGCTTTCTCAACTGGCTGTTTTTGAGACAGTTGGGTGACTCAGTGGATAGAACAATGGATCTGGAATCAGGAAGATTTGAGTTCAAATTTGACCTCAGACACTCACTAGCTGTGTGACCCTGGGCAAGTTACTTAACCTGTTTGCCTCAGTTTCCTCAACTATAAAACAGGAATAATGATAGCACCTAGTCCCCAGGGCTTTGTGAGGGTCAAATGAGATAATATTTGTAAAGTGCTGTGGAAACCTTAAGCTGCTATATAAATGCTATTATTGTTGTTGTAGAAAATGTACTGTGGTGGTATGGTCTAATGCAGGGGTGGAGAACTTGCAGCCTCGAGGCCACGTGAGGCTCTCTGGGTCCTCAAGTGCAGCCCTTTGACTGAATCCAAACTTCACATATGGCCTCAAGGTCATAGGTTCCCCACCCCTGGTGGAAAGAGCACTAGATTTGGAATCAATTTACCTAAGTACTGAGACCACTTATACTCCCTTTAGCAACAAAAACCCTGAGCTAAGTACTTTTTTATGCAACTGAGGCTCTGAAAGACTTTCTACTGATATGAAGCCTTGCAGGAAATATAGTCTTTATTTTCCTGCTTCTGCTTTTTAAGAAAATCTGCATTATTTAAAGATCTTTCCAGATTCTCTGTATTTATGATACATGTTGGCCTTAATTGTATTATAGTATTCTCTTACATTAATGTACCACAATTTATTTAGACATTTTTCTACGGCAGGACATTTACATTGTTTTCAGATGCTTTGCAATTCCATATACTACTACCATGGAAATCTTTGAAGAGATAGCTTTTGTTTGGTTTTGTTTTTTATTAACACTTTTGGGACATGTGCCCAACAACAGAATCACAGAGTCAAGGATAAATGACCGTTTCTATAACTTTACTGTGGCTAACAGACTACTGTCTAAAAAGATTCTAGTCAGTCAACAAACATTTATTAAGCACCTACGGAGTGTCAGACACCGGGCTGAGTGATGGGTACATGAAGAAAGGCACAAACCAGTTCCTGTTCTGAAGGAGCTCATAGGCTGACAGGAGGGAACACGCAAAGAACTATGTAGAAACAAGATACAGACAAGATAAATTGGGGGTAAACTCAGAGGGTTCCTAAATGCTTCATAAATGAGGGCAAATGGATGGATCCACACTCCATACAAAGGAGAAGCTCACTATCTCTCACTGTCTTTAGACGTAACCCATTCTCCTGTTGGACGGTGGTTACTGGGATGGTCTTCCTTACGAAGAGCTACAATCTTTCTCCCTATACTTTTCACTGATTATTGCGAGTCCTGCCTTCCAGGTACCAAATAAAATAGGGCTAGTTCTCCTGTCAAACAACTACCCTTCATGCTGAAACACAGAATGGAAAGAATTTGGTGGCCCTTCGGTCTCATCCTTTCATCTTATGGATAAGGAAACAGGAGCTCAGAGAGGAAAAGTAATAATCAAGATGGTGAGTCAAATTCAAATAGAAATGGATTCCACTTGCCACCAGGCTGGCTAGACCAACCTTCATTTTACAGAAGGGGATTATGAGTCCCTGAGAAGGGAAGTCACTTGTACAAGTCACATAGTAAGAAGTCAAGGGTTAAATTACTGGACAGTGACTGTC